TATATACAAACATTCAGTGCTATTCAATATTCAGCACAATACTATTCTTGCAGTACATACAGTAGGCCTATACAATATATTCACCTTACTCAGTTGCAGTTACTATACTTTTTAACAGAATTGCAAAAATGTTTACTCAATACAATATACTTTTTTTCTGTAATGTTCTGGATGCTGTGTTCTCCGTTTTTCTCTGAAGTGTCTGATGAATGCTCTGTAGTGTTTATTTTATTGACTTGTGTGTGTGTGTGTGTGTGTGTGTGTGTGATCTGAGAGCACCGGTTGATTTTGAGTGCAAGTGAAATGGTTTTGCAGTGATTGTTTGATTTTGATGGAAGAGTCAGAGGTTTCGTGAATTTAGTTTGAGTATTTGGATTTGTGTTTAAGGTTTTGAGAAAATGGGTGATGGTTTCAAGAAAGGTGTTTTTAGCAATTCAGAAAAACTGTAATATATGCAAAACAAAACACAAACTGATTACTTATGGATTCAGTCAGATTCTGTGAATAGCAATTGCTGTTTGTGTGCCTGCATGCAGAACATTAATGAAGTCCAACACACGCTCTTTTTTTCCCAAAGAATGGGTATTTTGCTATGTTATTTTAATATTGTATCACAAAAGTTTTTATTATTGCTATTCATTTTGTTGATGAATATGTTCTATATGCACTTTCAACATGTTTTGCGCACCAAAGCTCTCGATGTGTCTCTACTTTCTGTGTGCATCCCAAATGGGCGCCAAAATAAATTTAAAGGCTTACTTATGTTCCACTCAAAAGTATACTATAGTATATATACTTCTGCAGTGTTTGTCACAGCAGAGGTCACTGTTGTATCTTTTTACTGGTCTAAAGTCCTTAAGATGTTTCGTGAGGGCAAACATTTATAATCTGTCACTATATAATAACAATGACATGTTCCTTTATGGACATAAGTGTGATTTTTGGTAATTATTGTTGACTGAAGTATATTTTCTCTCTGTTTTTAGAGGAATATCTGCAGAATTTGTTTGAAAATGGTCAAATATGTTAAAAAGAGCACACACTGATAATAAAGTGACACTATGAACAAATTTTACACTTGTGTAAAAACGTTTATTAACAGATCCACAATTCATAAAAAAAGAAACAGTTTAAAAAATAATAATAATTTAATTTGCCCAGCTAGGCGCTGTTGATTGGCAGAACATCATCGAGCTAAGGCAGGTATTGCAGTGTAATCATTGTGCAGTGGTTTTCTCTAAGGCAAACAAAATCAAAAAGCAAACACTGTCTACCATGATTTTTTTAAAATATGAAAACATAAACATTTTTATTCCCTGTGATAGTCCATTGCTTTTTTTCAGTTCGCCCATCCATTATTTTTCAAGTACACTGAGACTGCGATGAGTCAGGCAGCCATTTTAAGGCAGCGCAGTTATTGGACTCAGTTTGAACTGGTGAACCGACGACTGGATGGGCATTGGTGTCAGGAAGGAGGTAGGGAAGGTGAAACCCGAGGACTCGAAGTTCTCGGTTTCGAGCGTGAAGTCACCACTAAAGAAGGTGGGTGTCTCTTGAGTGGCAGGAGTGACAGACGGAGGCGTGGAAGAAACCACCTCCGACTCGAACTGCAGTAGTTGACCCATGAAGCTAAAATTGGGCGAGATGATGGCACGCCGCTGTCGGATGACGTCAAAGGCCTGCTCCAAGCGCAACCGTTGGGTTTTCATGATGTACGCCATGCAGATGGTGGGAGAACGAGAGATTCCAGCCTCGCAGTGGACCAGCACTTTACCTTCCTCTGCTTTCACACGTTCTGTGGAGAGAAAAGTACATGAATTCATTACAAAAGCTCTCGAAATAACAGCATGAGTCACCAAAAACACAGACTGTCTTTTAAGTCAAACTTCAAGCCAGACTTTATTTATAAAGCACATTTAAAAACAACAGAAGAGCCCGGTGCACTTTTAGGCCTATGGAAAGAAAGAAAGAAAGAAAAAAAGAAAGAAAGAAAGAGAGAAAGAAAGAGAGAAAAAAGAAAGATAATAAAAGGTGAAGTAGCGGCACCAGACAAAATAATAATGACTGTTTTCAAACAAGTTTCCCCAAACACGCCCTTCATCTGCCATTGGTAAGTCAAACAAATAGCCCCGCCCCAAATTCACACCATTGGTTGAGCCAGTGTTGCTATGCTGGACTGGTCAAATATTCAAAGAAACAAAGCGATGTTTTGAAAACACCACAGAGACAAAGTTTAGACTTTTAAGGGAAAATGTTCTTTTAAAACGTACTTAATAAACTTTGTTTTATTTACAACTCAAAAATCATTTTTACAGTGTACGAATAACTTATAGTTTGAGCACATTCATTTTGGTATATGAAATATGTTTGCATAACATTACAATGTGTATAAATGCCATAAAATGGCTTTGAGTTACAGAGTTGTGAGAGGGAACAAGTGAAACGTAATCATGGTTATTTTTCACAGTTCTTCTGATATCCTCTGTCCGTTATCGCTTGGCTAATTCATTTCCTCCCTGACCCTTTTTTATCGTAATGTCATATCAATTTCATTTCCACCCCAGAAAGTTCTGACGCACAAATCCATAAACTCACACCATTAGGGAAAGCTCCGATTGCGTATTCCTGTCTAATTCAATACAGCTAAGCAGATTCCAGCCTCATATCTCTGAACGACGCACATACGAGAAGTGAAGCGCGTGTTCATGCGAGATCCCTCGCTGCTGGTCTCTTTAAAACAAAACATGCTGGTGTGAATCACGCCTGAAGCCCATCTGGAGCGGAGCGGGGCCGAGCTGTGGGCGTCATAATGACTATCACACTCGCTAATGCGCCTAAATATTACCACACACTCATTAGCCGAAGCTTTCGATGGACTATTCTTTCACTGCTATCGCTTTCCTGCGGGAGACCAAATTACCTCACGGTCTCTTAGGTAATATCGTCTATATTGAGGTAAATGTTAATGAAACTTGGGTATAATCGAATGAAATGTGGGATACGCAAGTCCTTGAATGGCAGACAGGATGACATGGTTAAAGCCTCACCAGAATACAGGTCAAACAGGGAGTTTTGGTCACATGTGAAGTCTATGTAAACAACGTCTACACTCTTAAAGGTGACATATCATGAAAATCTGACTTTTCCAGGTTTTAAGTGCTATAATCAGGTCCCCAGTGCATCTACGGAAAAGGGGGCGGGGAGCAGCAGCTCATTTGCATTTAAAGAGACAGGCCTGAAAAACAGCTTGTTTCTGCTTCCACTCAAAATAGGCATTTTCAAAATGATATAATAAATGATCTGTGGAGTATTTTGAGCTGAAACTTCACAGACACATTCTGGGGACACCAGAGACTTATATTACATATTGTAAAAAGGGGCATAATATGTCACCTTTAAGGTTATTTATGTAGTGATGTCATAGAAGAACCATTTTTGGTTCACTAAAGAACCTTTCAGTTTCAGTTTCAATTTGATAATTTTTTAAGGGGTGAAATATGGCCTAAACCTGGACCTGTTTTTGACAAGCTTTTTGCAAATCACCCATAAACAGCATTAAACGCTGTCGGATTATTGTGTAAACACATTCACCTGATAAAGAACCTACAAAACACATGACAGTCCAGTCATAGCACACAAACACACACCTAACACCACTAATCATCGACTCATCCACTGACACACTGGCCACACCTGTGATCCACAAGATCCTGGATTAGTCTAACCCCTGAGTCACAGCGGCATGTCCGTTTATCTCTCTTTATCTATATGCTTCATCTCATTTTTTATTTTCAGTAGGAGTTGGTATTAATTGCGCTCCCCAGAGTACAAGTAACATGGGATTTGTAGGTGTAATTAAAGGTGCAGTCCATTCGGATTATGGAAATTATGTGTTAGTAAAGCAGAGGAAGTCTTATTTTTAAACGGCCTGAAATTAGCTCCACTATCTATAGGTCTGTGCTCAGTTCTGGGAATGGTTTTAGCCATACAGATTAAGTTTACATAACACTAAAGATGCTGACGGTTAAAACTTTTTTTTATTAATAACAAGCGATAAAATCGTATCAATTTTAACCACAACCAAAAGTGAGACTCTGAAGTGCTCCATGGTCTTTTTTGCATATTTCGACTCCTACAGTTAAGAGGAAGTGGTTTCGGTGGAAGTGGGTTGAAATGAGGAAACAACAGCTCGCTTTCTTCTCTCTTACCTGATCATAGTCTGGTTTGTGGTGAGAACCCAGTTTGTCACAGTGACTGCTGACGCCTCTTTCACTTTTGTCTTCGCTCAGATCCACAGACTTGGTTTCAGTGCAAAGCTCGGGGTAATGGGAATGGAAGTTCTCGTAGCCTCCTGGAATGAGAAACGCGCCGTTATTATGAGTCGTCAAGGATTGTTGAGTCGTTCACCTTATCAAGAGCTTCACGTGCTGCAGTTCAGAGCTGATCCGAGTGCGAGAGTCAAGAAAAGCATTCCCACCAACACAGGGAGAGTGTTCATGAGCTCAAGAGCTTGACTTTCAGTCATCAAAATCTCCTAGTTAAACTCAACATGTCATTTGAACAAACTGAATAACTTAATTTAAAAATCTCTGTATATTTGAATGCAATATTATCACTGAAAGGAGTAAAAATATGATATATGGCTATAAATATACTTTGCTGGTTCTCATACTTCTCTCTCTGACTCATCCGTCCTTGATTCCGCACAAAGAAAATTTATCTCTTGAAAACCAGACAAAGCCCTGATCTGCTCCATCAAACGAAATACTAAAGCTATTTCACTATATATATATATATATATATATATATATATTCTTTATTATAATAAAATACAAATCACTATTACATTGTACGCATTACATGAACGTGTGTGTGTATATATATATATATAGATTTAAATTTTAGTTTGTTCACTTTTATTATATGATTTTATTATTTTTATTATAATAAAATACAAATTGCTATTATGTTGTAAAATGCATATATGTATATACATATATACACACACACACACACACACACACACACACACACACACACACATATAGACTTCTTTATTTACTTGTAGAAGTCTAGTAGTCTAAACAGTTTAATTTTAATTCAATTTAAATTTTATTTTAAAATACACATTTATTTATTTTTCACTATACATATCACTTTATTAGTATAACAGTGTATTCCTTACAATGTAATTCTTCCATATAATTCTTCGAATTAATGATTGAGACACTTGTAAAGAATTCTAAAATAGATAGAATTGTTTTAATTAATTGGTATACATCTAAACATTCAAACTAAGTCAGTCATCAAATTCTTTACTTGCTTTGTCCTGGAATCGTCATTTTAAACCCAAACAAAACTTAAATGAATGAGACCTTAAAATATTGAAAATATTAAACACTTTCAAACAAAAAAGACCGAACAATTTTTACTCACCTTTCAGGAAGCAGATGCTCGCGCTACTCGCCAAGTGCGCCAAACTATTAATGACAATCTGAGCAATACTGTCTTTCTTCAGTTTTTGTAAATGAGGTGTGCGGTCATCCAGAGCCACGACGGCGGAGATGCTGCCCTCGCGGAGCCGAAACAGCGCTTTCTCGTCCGGGATGATGAACTGTAGAGGCACCGGACCGCCGCGGGACCTCCGGACCACCACTGAATTCAAGTTGACATTGACGGAGCCTCTGATACTGGAGCTGGAGAACGAGAAATACGGTCTACAGTCCACAATCAGACAACTCCCACACTCCTTCCGTATGATCTTCCTCAGGCGGCGACAGTCTATGCTGGAGACCTTCATGTTGGAGTGACAAAGTGAAATGTTTGTAGCAGGGACGTGGATGTTTCAGGGGTGTAGGCTGCCTACTGAACCCTGTGTGCTGAGCCTGAGTCTACATTTCCTCCGAGGGGATTCCGTCGGATCGCTTTTATATGAATGGAACCTCCGGAGCTTGACGTCACGAACCATATATGGACATGTCGACACGAGAATACTTTTTGTGCACAAAGAAAACAAAAATAACATAATTTATTCAACATGTCTTCTCCCAGAGTTACATATGTGTGCAGCTTTCCCCAGAGCGTAATCAACTTAATCAGCTTTGTTTAAGTTCTGGGGAAAGTGCAATGTCAGTCTATGCACTCTAAAAAATGCTGGGTTATTTTTATTTTTTTAACCCAAATGCTGGGTTCAGCTTGTTGGGCCATTTTATTGGGTTGTTTTTAATATTTTTACCCAGGTGCTGGGTAGTTTTTCCTGTAAGTTGCTGGGTTATATTTAATGCTGGGTTATTTTTTTCTACCCAGTCGCTGGGTTGAGCCTGTCTCCACAAAACCCAGCTGCTGAGTTAAAGGGTTACTCCACCCCAAAATGAAAATGTTGTCATTAATCACTTGCCCCCATGTCGTTCCAAACCCGTAAAAGCTTTGTTCGTCTTCGAAACACAAATTAAGATATTTAAGATATTTTTGACGATATCTCTCATACTTTTCTGGGTCTTGACAGTGTTATTTACTTGGCAGTCAAT